TATATATATATATATATATATATATATATATATATATATATATATAATGTGTGTGTGTAAGGCTAAAAATCGTACAAGTGGTCCTAGTTGTAATATTAAGGCGTATATGTCGCTTGCTGTACAAAGTGGGGAGTACCGGACGACGACAGCTCAGTAAAGTCGAACGGCGAATCATTAATGAACGTCACGTCGTTCAGTTCTCAAATCGTTCGTCTGAAGAACGGATCGACACAGTGATATCTCTAAAAATGCGTATCTTCGTCATGTTCGTAGTTTTATTTATGTTCTTACTAATAGTGCAGAACAATATGGTTATGTCGATGAAAATGAGGATGCGAGGTCCGATTCGTGATGCCATCGAGAATGGTGCGGCCGCTGCATACAATAAGAACGATTGTATTTGGAAACAGGAGAACGATCAAAATCCCTGCATCGATCCAGATATTTACGTATACCTGTATACGCCGGATCGACCACGAAAACTGTTAGATTCTTCGGAGAAGTCGGATTGGTTGCGTCAGGATTACGAGTCCTCTAAAGAGAATATACTTTTGATTCACGGATATGCAGGTAAATTTCAGAATTGTCGATATCTTAGATCAAACTAAACTTACCAATAACCAATTACTCCGCAAACACTCCGATACGTTACATTTCTGTACTAGAATAATATTTGAAGTATTACTTAAGTATTATTTAAAAGAAACTAAGTTAAATTGGCATAAAAAGTATAATACCCTTATAGAAATATCATAATAAGAATCATTGACAATTACTTATTATCCAGTATTTTTAATACTGAAAATAAGTAATTATCAATGATTCTTAGTGTGATATTTCTATAAGGGTACTATACATTATATTTATGTATTTATTATAAGAAAAGTTATGGAAAAGAAATCGATAACTGTTTTTTTGAACTCCTTTTAGAATATAAATGTTTTTTCTGAGTTTCTTATTAAAATCAAACAAATATTGCAGTTAAAAAAGAAAAAACATTGATTTGAGAACAACTAAATATGCAAGCATTTCGAGAGAACAATGTAAAAAGGCCAAAATTTGACTGTAAATGTATGAAATCGTGCTGTTTTTACATTTCTGAGCCTACTGAACTCGAATATAAAGCATAAAATTATCCACATCCCGGGAAATTTTATGAAAATACAGTGAAAACTTCATTATTTTCAACAAATACTTTTTAATAACAATTGACAATTATAAACAAAATGATTTTATTTTATTGAATTTATTAGTTTTTTATTGATATTTTTTTAATTTGACTAATGATTCTTAGTTACCCGACTTATTCTCGCAGCTCCATGAATCGTAGTGTATGGGAGATATAATAAAAAACAACGTTTATATGCAGAGCTAACGACTAGCTAACGACATGTTCGTATTGTTATTCGTGATGTAATATAAATCATTTTTTTATTACAAAAAATAATTTTTGAATTTTTTGACGGTACCTCCCTTATAGAAATATCATACTAAGAATCACTGATAATTACTTATTATCCAGTATTTTTAATACTGAAAATAAATAATTATCAATGATTCTTAGTATGATATTTCTATAAGGGCTAACGACAAAAAAGAAATAGATTATGGTTGATGAAAACTGCGAGTATACTCCAAGTGATTAAAAACTATCTATTAAACTTACAAAAATACAGGGTTGGGAACGTTACTTTTTAAAAGTAACGCGTTACCGTTACCGTTACTTGCGGTAAAAAGTAACTTGTTACCGTTACTCGTTACTGATTCTAAAAAGTAACGCGTTACCGTTATTTGAAAAGTAACGATAAAAAAATCGTTACTTTCCGTTACTTTTGTAAAAAAAAAAGTTAAAATCGGCATATAAAACGAATAGTAGAAGAGACAGTACATAAATTATACATATATAAAGACAAAATATAAGATATTTAAGCGGGAAGCACACATGATTGCATAACGACATAAAGCCCATTCTACATTAGTCGCAAGTCGCAAGGTCGCAAAGAAATTGACTAATCATAGTCGATTGTTCTTCTTGCGATCGAAGAATAATCAATTATGATTGGTACAATTTCCTTGCGATCTTGCGATTGCGACTAATGTAGAATGGGCTTTAGGGGCGCCGCACACGAATTGACATACAGTAACGTAAGACGTACCGTAAAAATGGATCAATTACAATCGAGTATTCACAAAAATGGCGACCTTACGGTTCGACGATACTCAAAGTGATTGGTCAGTTCTTACGGTATGTCTTACGTTACTGTTATGTCAATTCGTGTGCGACGCCCCTTAAGTGTGGTCTACAATGAGAACTTAAGCCATAAAATTTAAATCCTAAGCCGTAAGCTTTAAATCCTAAGCCGTAAGAAGTTGACCAATCACAGTCAATTATAAGAAAAATAATTTCTTACGGCTTAGAGATTAAAGCTTAAATTTTATGGCTTAAGTTTTCATTGTAGATCACACTTTAGAGGCTTTCTACAATAAGCAATAAATTTTAAATCGCAATAAAATTGACCAATTACAGTGGATTATTCTTCTAATAGTCGACTATGATTGGTCAATTTTATTATGACATAAGATTTATTGCTTATTGTAGAATGGGCTTTACGGAAAGCGGCACATTAATTGTTTATCGTATGCAAACTTTCATCGCGTGGCAAGCGTAGCCGCGTTCTGTGTACAAAAGCCATTATAGTAAAAAAGTAACTATGAATTTCGTTACCCGTTACTAAAGAAAATGTAACGCTGTTACTGTTTCGTTACTGATACAAAAAAGTAACGGCGTTACCAAATCGTTACCAAAAAAAAGTAACGAAATAGTAACATCGTTACAAGTAACGCGTTACTTCCCAACCCTGCAAAAATATTAATAAAATATCAATAAGAATCAATAAGAAAAAGACTTATTTTGTTCGCAATTGTCAATCGTTCATTAAAAATCGTTTATTGAAAAATTAGATTTTCCTATAAAAAATTACATTTTCCCAAAGTTCTCTGAAATTTGGATTATTTTAAGTTTCACATTCGAGTTTAGTTGGCCAAAAAATATAAAGATAGCCTAGTTTCATTTTCGTTATGGGCAAATTTTGGCTTTTATACAGGATTATTTTTTTATGATAATATACCCTATCGTGACTGAATGAACTTAAATCACGTGTTATTAATTAGAATGTAATTTTTTAACTGTGCATGCGTACGTGCGTGTGATATATTATCTATATAGTATGTGATATACTATCTATATAATAAAAATAATTTTTATTAATGAAATTATTGATATTGTGCTTATGGACGGATGAACTAAAGTATAAAGCCCATACACAGGATAATCCATTTCAATCATTTCATCTAACTTTTCTGCAAAATAAAAAAATTATAATAATATACATAAAATTATAAATTATATACAAACAGTGGATTTTTCAAACAGAGCATTCATGTTTTTACAGCAGATTCGAAATTATATTACGATAAAAATACGATAAAATACGAAAAAAAATTTTTATACAAGATATTCTCTTTTTAATATCAAAAAATATTAAAAGAAAATGTCAACTTATAATATTTAAAAACTCGACTTTGGAGATCATTCTGACCATAGCAGAAGTATTTTAGAAATGAATATAGTATGGCTAATGGAATAGGAATTCCGAGTCATATATAAGAAGAAGAAGAAGAAACGAAATATATAAAACCATTTTTATATCCCTTATAGAAATATTATACTAAAAATCATTGATAATTACTTATTTTCAGTATTAAAAATACTGGATAATAAGTAATTATCAATGATTCTTAATATGATATTTCTATAAGGGATTTATGTGTAGAATTCAAGTATTTCATAAGTATAACAGCATATGGAAAAAGTTGATTATTTCAAAAAACTCACAAAGAACCCTACACTAATTATGTATAAACTTAAGATACGGTAAAATCAATTGATGTTCTCATATATTGTAGCTTATGATCTACTGAATAAAAAGTGTGATAGACTCAAAACTAGATAATAGAGAGTTACTGTTCTACACCTAGTCAAACACGAAAAGACACGTGTGAATATTATTTTGGAACACTTGAGTTTCGAAAACCTCAGGAAACCTTAGGAAATCCTAGAAAATTATTATTTCTATTAATTTATTAATTATTAATTAATTAATTTATTTATTTATTTATTAATAATTTATAATTAATTAATTTATTAATTAATTTATTAATTATTTCTATTAATTCCAGAAGAAATTCCATATACTCCATATGTGAATTCATATATGATAATATATAGCCCTAAATATAATTATATCAAGAGACACGGTAGTGTGTGTGTGTGCGCGCGTGTGCGTGTGTGCGTGTATGTGCGTGTGCATGTGTGTGTCACGTTAAGTGTACGCGAAGTCGGAGCGAAACTATGACATTGGTAGCGAGGTCTGCTGTGTATACTTACACGATCACTTTAGTTGGACGAAGGCATGACTTTGAATTCGATTATAACGATTGATCCGATAGAGTTCTCAATGGGCTCAATCGATTCCTAATGGTCGATTATGTAATAAAACTGTCTCTACTTTTTATTCTACTTGCTCTGTGTACCAACTTTTTTAGCTCAAAGTTCGAAATAATCAATTGTCATGATCGATTTTCGTTCTACTTTTTTGGGATTGACTTACCTTGCGCTAGGGGCGCTACGAGAGAGATACGACAGAGATAGAGAAAAAGCGAGATACATTGAGAGAAAAATATAGTTACTTTCGGCGTCAACTATACTTTTTTGTTATTTTAACCAGAAAAATAATTAGAAGAACCATCTTTCTAATAACTCTTACTAAAACAATGGTTCTTCCAATTATTTTTGTGGTTAAAATCACGAAAACGTATAGTTGACGCCAAAGGCAACTATATTTTCCTCTCAGTCTAGAAAGAGACAGAAAATCTCCAGCTACACGCAACGCTGCGAGGAAAATAAGCTCTTTCTTTACTGTTGTTTTTTTCCGCCCCGCGATCTCCTTATTAACCGTTACCTCTTCGTGCCAATGCGATGAGGCGACCATGAGCCGGAGCCAGAAGAAAGTAACGGTCGCATTCTTTACGCGTATTTAAAATCAACGCTACATGAAGTATTTACTGAAAATATTGATTGATAATTATACAAGATTAGAAAGAGAAATTATTTTCCAACAGTAGCTTATTGTTACTTATAATCTATTAATAAAAGTAACTTATTATTATTACCGTTGCTGTTATTAATTATAACGGTAACAATGTTAAATTAGAAGTAATATATTAATCTTTCCTAATGTTATTACCATTTATATACGTTTTCACATATTTTTATTTTTTTGTGTGAGCACTCTTACAAAAATATTTCACCGATTTTAATCCTCAAAAATGTTTAATTTGAGCAATAAAAGCGTGCATTCAAAACAGCGAGTATGACCCTGTTTATAGGTCGGAAAGGGGCACTTTTACTAAAAACGAGTGGTGATTACGGATTGTTAAGGATTAGTAAAAACGTACCATTAAATGTATTTTTGACTGGTAATTGAGTGCAGCGCAACAGAAATTTGAGG